GGAATGTCAAATGAATAATTACCACTTATTGGATGAATTAGGTTTTCATCCTTAAACATCATATATATATGTATGTATTATTTTAGATTAGCATTAGATTACACATTACGTAATTTTTCAGAACTACAAAAATGGAATTGTAAAGTTTGAAAGAAAAAGGCAAGGTGTTGATTAATTCATTTGAAAATATTCACATAGCATTGTTTGATGTGTGAACTCAGCTAATAACAGCTATTGAATAATCAGAACTTAGGGTCCATTTGATTGTAAATGTGGAAATTAATTGGTGGAAAGAAAATGAATTCTAGGGAATTGAGTTGCCTAAAAATTATTTTACTGAGAATTGTATTTAATTGGTATAATTTCCCACCTGAAAAATGTTGAAAGTTTAGTGTCCGTTTGACTTTCTTTTTCATGAAAATTGTCCATTAAAGTGATAATTTCCTTTACCATTGAGTCTAGAATTTGTTTCACTTGCCAAAAAAATTTTTTAAAAATTTAAAAAAATAAAATTATCATATCTAATACCATTCGTTTAGCTTTATTTTGTATGAAAATTGTCAATAAAAGTGATAATTTTTTTTAATATTGTAACTAAAAAATTTTCCAATTGCTTAAAAAAAAAAAGATGGAAAATCAATTCCCACCAAAATGGTGAGCATGTGAGCCAAAGGTAGAAAAAAAATTTCCATGGAAAATAAAGTGTATCAAACAAGGTAAAAGTGGAAGTTGGAATTTGTTTTCTATTTTCCATGGAAAATAATGTCCTATCAAACCGGGTCTTATGTATGTAATTAACCATGTGGTTATTTTCAAGAAATAATTATAATGAGATAACGGGCAGAGAAATTTCGAATAAGATAAATCCATATGTCCTTCGCATTGCCTCAAGTGGGGGTCCCATCTATCAAAATGATGTCTTTCAATTTCATCAATAGCAACATCAAATTTTCTTTCAATCACAGAAAAAACTTTCTTTATCATATCTTTTATATAACATATTTCTACAAATACTTAAATGCTAATTGCAGTCGAACGGATTTCTATGTTCATCTGAAAATCGTACTTAGGGGAGAAATAAGGCAAAGCCCCCCAAAAATAGAAATTTGGAGTTTTACCAATTTCATTTTACAATTTTATTTTGAGACTGTGTATTTGGGTAAGAAATGACTAGCAACATATTTCTATCCACGTTTCATGCTTGCAGTTAAAAACAGTAAAATTACAAGCCTATTTACTATTAGACATCTATATACTTCCATTGAACGGATTAACTTTTGACTTTGTGAAATGGTATACAATGCATGAGGACTTCATTTCCATATATGAGGAATAGATAAGTAATCTCATAAGTTTTAGACCAAATC